GTCAACTCTAGCCTCGCTGCCATACAAAGGCCAGGTCACTGAGCAGACAACTGTAAAATGGTCTATTCAAAAGCAGGCAGTCCATCTGCTTTCAGAACACGATTACAACACAGGTTTTTTCAGCAACCTGTTTGTGATCCCCAAAAAGAGAGGCGGACAAAGAGCCAACTCGGGGGATATGCATTCCCTCCATTTGCCCTAATAGGGCGGTGTCTGAGGCAAGTTCTGCAGCAGTCAGTCTTTCAGTTGACAATTGTGGCTCCAGTGTGGTAAACTCAACCGTGGTACCCGTTGTTGTTAGAAATGACGGTAGACAATCTCATATTACTCCCATCCTTCCTAGGACTGCTGAGACAAAAGAACGATCTACATCCTCTTTTCCACCTTCAACTAGCCGCATGGCTAGTCTCAGGAGTCGATAGTAAGGTTCAACAGTTTCACAGCCAGCTCAAGGACTGCTTCTGGCTGCATGGAGAACCAGGACGGAAAAAACTTATTCTTCAGCCTGGAGAAAGTGGACTTGTTGGTGTTGTGAACAACAAGTCAATCTCCTTTCAGCGTCTTTAGATTCAGTGTTAAATTTCCTGGCCAATAGTTTTAGGCAGGCCTGGAGTATCGTACTTAGAATGTTTATCGCTCAGCTCTGTCTGCAACACACCCACAAATTGAGAGTTACAATGTTGGACAACATCCCCTTGTAATTGAGCTGTTAAAAAGGAATTTCAATTACCGTCCACCAGCACCGAGATACACATATACATGGGATGTTAGCATAGTTACGGGCTATTTGGAAAGTTCGGGTCCTAATGAGCAACTGTCACTAAAGCAACTTAGCAGGAAACTGGCATTTTTGCTCGCTACTACTTCTGCAGAGAGGGGCTCAGAATTAGTAGCCCGTGTTTTACGTTTCAAACGTTTTCACCCTGAAGGTGTTTCTTTCAATGTCCCAGAACTTACTACAGGGGTTCGGGTTGGAAAACCTATAAAGACCTCATTTCATTCTAGTTTCCCAGAAAATAAGTTGCTTTGCCCATGTTCATGTCTTGCGAACTCGGGCTTTTAGCCCAGAATCAGTTTCTGAACCAAACAAGTTATTTCTCTCGGTTGATAACCGACATAAGCCTGTGAGTTCTGCTGCCCTTTCTCATTGGGTTAAGAATTGTCTGTTGGAAGCTGGTATTGACAGTCAAGTGCTCAAGGCACGCTCCACCCGTGGGGCAGCTACCTCTGCAGCACTAAGAGCAGGCATCTCTGTTCCAAAAATAGTCAGTTTAGCTGATAAACCAATGAGACCACTTTCAAAAAGTTTTATTACCGTTCCGTTTGGAACGCTCGTGCTGGCCGCTCTGTTTTATCTAGTGCCGCAGTTGAGCAAGGATCTTGAAGCTTTGAAGATAAATTGTTTTATTATATGGCTAGCTCCGCGAGCGGGCAAGATGAAACAAATCCTGCGCCGTGATTGGCTACCCGAGCGGGTAAGATGGAGCTATCTTGCCCG